TCACCGCAACCTCCGCCTCCCGGGTTCAGGCAATTCTTCTGCCCCAGCCTCCTGAGTCACTGGGATTACAGGCACGCGCCACCATGCCCAGCTTATTTTTTGTATTTTTAGTAGAGGCGGGGTTTCACCATGTTGACCAGGATGGTCTCGATCTCTTGGCCTCGTGATCCACCCGCCTCGGCCTCCCACAGTGCTGGGATTACAGGCTTGAGCCACCGCGCCCGGCCGATATTTGGACTTTCAAAGAGTATATAGCTGTCACCTTACACTTGCTCCCTGCTTTCTATTTTTATTTTTATTTTACTTTTTTATTTGTATATTTTTTGAGACAACGTTTCGCTGTTGTTGCCCAGGCTGGAGTGCAGTGCTGCGATCTCAGCTCACCGCAACTTCTGCCTCCTGGGTTCAAGCAATTCTCCTGTCTCAGCCTCCCAAGTAGCTAGGATTACAGGCATATGCCACCATGCCTGGCTAATTTTGTATTTTAGTAGAGACGGGGTTTCTCCATGTTGGTCAGGCTGGTTGTGAGCTCCTGACCTCAGGTAACCTGCCTGCTTCTGCCTCCCAAAGTGCTTGGATTATAAGCGTGAGCCACTGTGTCTGGCCTGCTCTTTGTTTTCTCTCTAAAACAACTTTCCTTTGGTACCCCGATAATGAGCCTTTGTGGGACTCCCCCTTCCTAGCTTCATTTCTTGTTTTGTTTTGTTTTGTTTTGAGACGGGGTCTTGCCCTGTCGTCCAGGCTGGAGTGCAATGGCATACTCTTGGCTCACTGCAACCTCTGCCTCCCGGGTTCAAGCGATTCCCCTGCCTCAGCCTCCTAAGTAGCTAGGATTACAGGCCCGCGGCACCACACCTCACTAATTTTTGTATTTTTAGTAGAGTTAGGGTTTCACCATGTTGGTCAGGCTGGTCTTGAACTCCTGACCTTGTGATCCACCTGCCTTTGTCTCCAAAGTGCTGGGATTACAGGCGTGAGTCACTGCGCCTGGCCTCCTAGGTTCATTTCCTAACCCTTTTCCAGGGACTTAGGACTGATTCCCGGTCCCTGGCTCTCCCTCAGTATTTATTCCAAGCCAGTTTTAGTGACTTTCCCATTGGTTTCCTCCCAGTCAACCACAGAAGCCCCTGTGAAGCGGGCATCTCTGCTGGGTGATATGCATTTCCGAAGCCTGCGCACCAAACTACTGCTAATGTCCCGCAACGAAGAAGCTACCAAGCACCTAGAGGTAACTGTTAGCTCCTTTTCCTCCTGCCGAAGGGTATTGTCTTCCTCCCTTCCTACCCTGTCTTCCACCCATGCTCTTGTGTTTACAGAACAAAGAGGTTTTTTTTTTTTTTTTTTTTTGGGACAGAGTTTCACTCTTGTTACCCAGGCTGGAGTGCAATGGCGCGATCTCGGCTCACCGCAACCTCCGCCTCCTGGGTTCAGGCAATTCTCCTGCTTCAGCCTCCTGAGTAGCTGGGATTACAGGCACCTGCAACCATGCCCATCTATTTTTTGTATTTTTAGTAGAGACAGAGTTCCACTGTGTTGGCCAGGCTGGTCTCGCACTCCTGACCTTAGGTGATTCACCACCTCCCAGAGTGCTAGGATTACATGCGTGAGCCACCGCACCTGGCCAATATTTTGTATTTTTAATAGATACGCGGTTTTGCCATATTGCCCAGGCTGGTCTTGAACTTCTGGGCTCAAGAGATTCACCGGCGTGTACCTCCCAAACTGCTAGAATTACAGGCGTGAGCCACCACACTCAGCCTAAATATTTCTTTTTTAGGTGGGGGCAGTGGCTCACACCTGTAATCCCAGCACTTCAGTGCTTTGGGAGGCTGAGGTGGGTGAATCACCTGAGGTTGGGAGTTCGAGACCAGCTTGGCAACATGGTGAAACCCCATCTTTACTAAAAAGATAAAAATTAATTAATGGGGCATAGTGGCGGGTGCCTATAATTCCAGCTACTCGTGAGGTTGAGGCAGGAGAATTGCTTGAACCCAGGAAGTGAAGCTTGTAGTGAGCTGAAATTGTGCCATTTCATTCCAGCCTGAGTAACAAGAGAAAAACTCTGTCTCAAAAAAAAAAGAATTTTTACTTTTTTTATTTTTTATTTTGTGAGATAGCATCTCTTGTCACCCAGGCTGCAGTGCAATGGTACTATCTTGGCTTACAGCAACCTCTACCTCCCAGGTTCAAGCAGTTCTTCTGCCTCAGCCTCAAGAGTAACTGGGATTACAGGCATGCGCCACTACACCCAGCTAATTTTTATATTTTTAGCAGAGACACGGTTTCACCATGTTGGTCAGGCTGGTCTCAAACTCTGGACCTCAGGTGATTTGCCCGCCTTGACCTCCCAGAGTCCTGGGATTATAGGCGTGAGCCACCATGCCTGGCCTGACTAGAGTATTTCTATGAGATCTTTTTGAATTCTGACATCCTATAACTATTAGATTCCCTTTTTCCTTGGTGTTACACTATTCTAAATGAATAGGGTGTGTGTGTGTTTGAATATCCATTTCCATTTATCAAGTGAATTGATCTTGTTGGGAGGCTTTTCTCTGTGCCTTTGCCAATTCTGGGTCATGATCATCTTTGGCTTCTGCAGGGATCCTGCTCAGGATCCCTGGTACTAGTGGGTAAAAACTTACTATTACCCTCAGATGATGCAAACTTTATTTTTTATTTTGAGATGGAGTCTCGCTCTGTTGTACAGGCTGGAGTGTAGTGGAGCAATCTGCAATCTCCACCTCCCAGGCTCAAGTGATAAGTGATCCTCCCACCTCAGCCTTTGGTTAGGTGGGATTATAGGTGCAAGCCACCACACCCGGCTAATTTTTTTTTTTTTTTTTTTAAGACAGAGTTTTCCTTTGTGTCACCCAGGCTGGAGTGCAATGGCACAATCTTGGCTCACTGCAACCTCCCTGTAATTCTTTTGCCTCAGCCTCCCAAGTAGCTGGGATTACAGGCTCATGCCACTATGTGTGGCTAATTTTTACTTTTTTAGTAGAGACGGGGTTTCACCATGTTGCCCAGGCTGGTTTTGAACTCCTGAACGCAGGTGCTCCACCTGCCTCAGCCTCCGAAAGTACTGGGATTACAGGTGTGAGCCACCGCACCCGGCCTGATATAAACTTTTATCTGCTTCAGTTTCCATAGTGCAGGTTTTCTGATTGACAAAAGGTAGAATATCTAGCTGTCCTTGGACTTGGCTCTATTGATCTGTCTGGTAAAGTGTACTAAATAAACTAAACATAGCCATAGGTGCAGTCTTTTTTGTTTGTTTAATTTTATATTAACTTAAAAAAATAGAGATAGAGTTTTGCTGTGATGGCCAGCATGGTCTTGAACCCTTGGTCTCAAGCAGTCCTCCTACCTCAGCCTCCCAAAGTGCTAGGATTACAGGCATGACCCACACTCTACCCAGCTGCAAAGATTTAAGAACAGGGACATGTAAGGCTGGGCACGGTGGCTCACGCCTGTAATCCCAGCACTTTGGGAGGCCGAGGCGGGCAGATCACGAGGTCAGGAGTTCAAGACAATCCAGGCCAACTTGGTAAAACCCGCATCTA